GCAAGGGACATGAGAAGCATGTTTACCTTCCGGAAAAGTCCGGACAGACAAGTGACAGACCCACTTCGCCGACTTCGCGGGGACTGTCAGCGTGCCGACTTCGCCAATGATCTGCTTGCCAATGGGACAAGTATCCCAATGGCTATAAAATCTGCTTACTGTAAGTTGCATTTTTCTTTCAGTGCACTTCGTGTATTAATGCCTTGTTTTTCTTGTCCTCGCTAACAGGTGGACTTTTATGACATTGTAGCCAAACCGGAAGGAAAGAAGGAACCCAAATTTGAAAGAGTACTGTACGATCGGGTTGACAAGCTATTCGACCTATCCCCGAACAAGCGAAGATATCAACGGCTTGTAAAGGATTCTCGATTGGAATTGGCTGGTTTATCTCCCGGAATTTTAAACTCTTCGTTTCAACCGGGTATGCGTCTCGCCCATTTCATTTTATATTTCATGTCGGTAATCTTGGTCTTAATTTTAAATATCTTATGTAACAGTGTATTATCCATTGCTGGGATACTTCGGTTTTGGAGATCCCGTGGAGGCAGAAGAACATAGGAGACGTAATCCGAACTCAGATTTGAAGAACAAAGTCAGAAAAAACAAAAATCTTCGATCAACCGAGATGGCAGGACGCATGAATCTTCTCAAGGCGTGGAAAAAGAACCCTAACCGATCTCAGAGTGTTGTCGGTGAGCCATCAGAGACGAGGGTGGAGCCGACACTGGCTATCGTGAATGAGCTACCAGTTGCCGATATTCCGCCACTTGACATTGCACCATTACAACAAGTAGCAACGCCGGTGGGCGAGCCTACCGTTGAGACTGAAGTCTCGCAAGAGGTATCGGAGGAGCCCAACTTAAATCTGGTTCACCGTCGCAAGAGGTCCAACGTGTCTCATGTGGCGGAAAGAATGAAGAAGAAACAGGACACCGGCGTCGGCAAGGACAAAGAGGAGGAGCCCGAAATCGTCTTGAGGGACTCTTTTCTTAGGATAAATGAGAAAAAGGCTGCAGAGTTAAAGCTGCCAGAGGATGTGTTCGATCCTTGGTTTGCAATGTTCCAAACAGTCGTCGAGCCAAAAGTCACGATCAATCATCGGATCCCCAACGAAGCAGTGAAGGCGGCGAAAGTTCCGTTAATGTCGTGGGATCCGAAAACTCACGCTGGAATCGCATCTCTGCCCGATGACCAGAAATTCAGTTATGCCCGAGGTTGCTTGGGGCGGGCACTTGTCAGCTTCATAGCGGCCGAGGAAAGTTATCGGGGCAGAGTCCACGAGCTTGACGAGAAGCAGCACGAGCTGAGTTTGAAGGAAGGTGCCATAGCTTCCTTGGGGGATGAGAGGTCCCGCTATGAAGCATCGATGTCGGAGAAAGATGCTCAGTTGAAGGCGGCACAAACCGAGGTGGGCGCACTTAAGACTGAGAGAGAGAACCTTCTACTGGCTCATGATCTCTTGTCGGTTCAGCTGGCCAAAGATGAGGAGACAGCAAAAGAGAAAGACGAGCAACTCATGAAATTGAGGGCTGAGCTTCAAGCTGTTCGTAAAGATCGATCTGATAAAGATGCCGAGCTAATCCGAAGCCGTGAGGCCCATGAGTTTGCCATGACGAAACTTCGTCAAGAGATAACAGCGGCAGTTGAACTCAAATTTCATAAGGGTATTGATGTCGGCAAGAAAGCGGTGATGGAGTCCGACAAGGCGACGAACGAGGACGCGATTACAGAGTGGGATTTGGAGCTGAATGCTTCTTTAACTTTGCGGTGGGTGATCGACCGCGTCGAAAATGGCATTTATAGTGTCGATGAGTTGCGGATTTTTCTTCTAGAGAAAATGGAGAAGCATCGTCTTAACCCCGAGATCAAGAATGCTCATATTCCGGCCGACCAAGACGAACGGGATTTTGCCAACCGACTTCTAAGCAGAAGGAAAGTCGGATGCTCGAGTTAGACATGGTTCCCTTGTCGGAGGAGCGTAAGGCCAAGATCAGACGAGCCTTCATTGACATGGTCCTTGAGGTTGAAAAAGTTAAGAAACCTGAACTGGCCAACATATGCGTAGAGACAATTGCAGAGGCTTTTGTTGTGGAAACACTTGAAGGTCTCTCTGATGAAGAGCTCATGGATGCTATTACCGGCTTCGCTTTATGAAAGGTAGCGGAGGATGACGCCAAGGCTAAGGGTTGGTTGACGGAACTGATTCCCTCCGACGATTATCGAGTTTTACATGAAAATGATGACGTCGTCATCATAAAGGAGAGCGACGTCGTCCGAGCAATGGAGGAGAAAGAGGAGGAGGTGATGCAGCGTTTGGGCCAAAGATTGATAGATCACCTGGATTCGGTAGATTAAGGAAAAGCTGAAGTCGGGAACTCCCAGTCTTCCACAGCCGGAGGGGCTTCATCGTCGGGGGCAAATAAAGATGACTTGGATGAAACTCGATAATTAGTTGTTGTTTTCTATTTTCCTTTATCGGATGTAATGACAATATTTTATTATGAATGAAATTTAATGTTTTATGATTTTATTGTTCTTATGAATGTAGTACCATGACATATTACTGTAACAAGTCAAAACACGTCGGAGTAAGGATAAATGAATGTTTAGCAAATAATGCTTTTGATTATTCCGACGTGATATTTGGCATTTACGCTTTGCTTTCTTATGAGTTTGTCTGAATTCTCGATATCGGTATAATTTATAGCATATCCGACATCTATGAACTCTTTATCAGAACAAGTCTTAGTCAACTTGCTTTTATTGTATAAGTCTTTGAATGTTTCAAAGAACTCAAAAATATTTATTGTAAGCTCATCAAATCAACGTCGGGATTTGAAATTGTGGAGCATAAGCCTCCCCAAACAATCTTCAGGGCTTGGAAGTATCCGGCTTTGTTGCGTTTGGCCAGGTCATACCAACTTCAGGGTATGAAACACGTTTAGCCTTAGCAACGAGGACCGATTTATTGAGGTCCGAGTGATCGAACAAATTATAGTGGTTCGTCACACAAACTTTATTGACAACAAAATGTGATTTTTGTACATAGGCAGGACAAAAGATTTTCACACATCGGAGGCAAGGATTCAACTGTCAGGTTTACTGAAAGTACTTCTTCAGATAGGTCGCATGCCAAGGGTACTGAAGGGGAACACCATCTAGAGTTTCAAGCCGGTAGGTACCATTAGAAATTAGACAGTTCACTTTGAAGGGTCCTTTCCATTAGGTTGCAACGGACCGACATTGGCCCCGGTAACTCTTTTCAATACGAGGTCTCCCACGACAAATGAGCGTGGCTTGAACTTTGAATTAATGTACTTTTCACTACGTCGTTTGTAAGCAGCATTTCGAATTTCAACTTCGGTCCGTAGTTCATCGATCAAGTCGAGATCGGTTCTCAAGTTCCCTGAGTTGGCTTCTTCAAAAAAGTGGGTAATCCGATATGTTGGAGAAGTGAGTTCAGCCGGAATCACAGCTTCAGTTCCGTATGTTAATGAGAACGGGGTTTCTCCAGTTGAATTTTGCGTCGTCGTCCGATAGGCCCAAAGGACATGGGGCAGCTCATCAGGCCAAGATCCTTTTGCGGTCTCTAGTCGGGTTTTCAAGCCATTCTTGATGATCTTATTCACAGCTTCTATTTGCCCATTAGCTTGCGGGTGATAAGGTGACGAGAAGAAATGCTTGATGCCATAGTCTTCACAAAAACTTTCGAATCTTTTCCCTTCGAACTGACGATCGTTATCGGTTATAATAGAGTTTGGTATCCCAAACCGACAAACGATGGACTTCCACACAAAATCGATCATTTTTTGTTCGGTGATGGTTGCAAGAGGTTCAGCCTCTACCCATTTGGTGAAATAGTCGACAGCCAATATCGCAAATCGAACACCTCCCTTTGCTGTCGGAAGTGGACCAATTAAATCAATTCCCCATTTTGCGAACGACCATGGACTATATATTGACTTGAGGAGTTCAGGGTGTTGGTTAACATTAGGAGCAAATATCTGACACTTGTGACATTTTCGCACCCAGTCTGCGGCATCTTTCTTGACAGTCGGCCAATAGTAACCTTGTCGGAGGATCTTATGGGATAATGCTTGTGCTCCTTGGTGGGTACCGCAGACACCCTCATGTACTTCTTGAAGAATTCGTTGAGCATCAGTTTCTGACAAGCATTTAAGTAATGGAGTGGAATATCCACGCTTGTATAGTGTTTCCTGATCGATCGTGAAATGAGCGGCACGAACACGAAGGGTGCGAGCTTCCTTCGGGTCTTCAGGCATGGCCCCGGTCTGAAGGTAGTTGATGATTGGATCCATCCAAGTCAAATTTGGAATTGGCGAAGCGGCATCAATCATGGCGACGTCGGTAGAGACTGTGGAGGAAGTCGCCTGTTGGGTAATTTGCACAAATTTGACATTGTTCAAATCGGTTGAGGAAGCCAAGCGTGAGAGAGCATCTGCTTGAATGTTTGATGATCGAGGTATATGTTCCAACGTCATTTTGAATCGCGATAACTTCTTCTTGACGAGATCGAAATAAGGCAGCAATCGTGGTTCCTTGACTTCATAGGCGCCATTGATGTGGCTGACTAATAACTGAGAGTCAGAAAATATGCGGAGGGAGGAAACATTCATGGATTCAGCAAAATGTAGACCTGATAAGAGGGCTTCATATTCAGCTTCATTATTAGTGGCTGGAAAAGTGAATGCTACAGAGTAACAAAACACTTTTTGATCAGGACTGACTAAAACGATTCCTCCTCCAGCTCGTATAGCGGTGGATGATCCATCGATGTAGAGAGTCCACGTCGGATCCTGAATTGATGTGCTAACAGATGGGGTGAACTCTGCTATGAAGTCGAATAACACCTGGGCTTTGATGGCAGTTCGTGGGCGATACTGAATGTCAAACTGTCCAAGCTCTATAGCCCATTTGATCATTCTTCCCGACGTGTCAGGTCGGTGGAGAACTTGTCGGAGAGGATATGATGTGAACACAACAACAGAATGTTCCAAAAAATATGGTCGCAACTTTCGTGCAGCGATAATCAAAGCAAAGGCTAACTTCTCCATATACGGATATCGCAATTCAGCGTCATGTAAAGCCTTACTAACATAATATATCGGGAAATGCTGGAGTCCATCTTGTCGTATAAGAACAGCGCTAACAGCAACATCACTTACTCCCAGATACAAATATAAAAGTTCATCGGGGAGAGGTTTTTGCAACGTCAGTAGTTGTGAAAGAACTTCTTTGATGTTATCAAAAGCACTCTGACATTCAGTGGTCCATTCAAACAGCTTCTTCTTTTTGATGGCGTCAAAGAAAGGTTTACAATGATCCATCGACTTCGAAATGAATCGATTTAAAGCTGCTAGTCGACCGGTTAAAGCTTGAACTCCTTTGATGGACGTCGGAGGAGCCAAATCAAGTATGGCTTGAATCTTGATGGGATTAGCTTCGATTCCTCTATGGCTCACCATGTATCCTAGAAATTTTCCTGATCCAACCCCGAAGGTGCACTTCTTGGGATTAAGCACCATTGAATATTCTCGAAGGATGTCAAAGACTTCGGAAAGATGGGCAATATGATGGGAAGCCTGTTCTGATTTTACCAGCATGTCATCTGCATAAACTTCCACGGTGCGACCGATCAAGCGAGCGACCATCTTATTGACCAACCTTTGATACGTGGCCCCAGCATTCTTCAATCCAAAAGTCATCATGACATAACAGTAAAGACCTCGGGCCGAATAAAACGAAGTATGTTCATCATCATCGGGGTGCATGGGGATTTGATTGTAACCGGAATAGGCGTCCAAAAAACTCATGAGCTGGTGTCCCGATGTAGCATCTACCATGTAATCGATATGTGGAATTGGATAGCTATCTTTCGGGCATGCTTGGTTCAAATTCGAGAAATCAATGCATAAGCGCCAAAGACCAGTAGCTTTCTTAACCAAAACAGGATTTGATATCCACGTCGGATATTTTGCTTCTTTAACGAACTTGTTGTCTATAAGCTTGTTCACTTCTTCTTCCAACGCTTTCTGACGATCTGGTCCGAATTTCTGACGTTTTTGTATGACGGGCTTGATGGTCTTATCCAAATTTAGCCGGTGACACGCTTTCTGCGGGTCTATTCCCTTCATATCTTCATGCTTCCAAGCGAACACGTCTTAGTTTGACCGAAGAAATTGAATTAAGTGCGAACGTGTGGGTTCTTGAAGACTAGCCCCAGTGTGCAACGATTTTTCTTGAGTCAGTTCATCCACGTAAATAATTTCGACATCTTCAACTGGTTCCGTCCGAACGTGATGACTCTTATCTTTGAATTGCACCCTTGGATCTATATCTTCGTGCACTCTCATATCCTCCGCAGAAAGAGGTTGTCCTTGGTCGAGGGCTCCATTCGAGATTTCAGGCAAATCCGACGTCTCAATGACGTCGGTATCAGGGACAGAAGAGATGTCGGTATTTGAAGCAGATTGATCTGTCATTGTGGTATCAGGAAGGATTGGATCTTTCAACTCAATAGAGCTATCAGTTTCCTGTACCTCGCATACACGAAGATTTCGTGAAGTTGAGAGCAACGTCAGACTTCGCGCCTCCCGCTGATCTCCATAGTGAGTGCCTTCTCCTTCAATTGTGGGGAACTTCAAGGCATAGTGAAAAATTGACACAGCAGCGCGGAGTTTCTAAAGAGCAGTTCGCCCTACAACAGCATTGTACTCGTTTTGAACGTCCAAGACTTTGAAGGTTTCCATAATGATCTTGGATTTTGGTCCAAAGCCACCAAATCGTATGGGGAGTAATATTTCACCGATAGGACAAGAAATACTTCCGTTAAAACCTTGAATCTGATTGTTACAGGGCCTAATGTCCGCGGGGTCCAAACCTAATTTCTTGAACAGTGCGAAACATCAAAATACTTGAATATGCTCCGGTATCAACCATAATTCGGTGTACAAGGATTCCTCCAATCGGAGCAGTGATAATGAGGGCGTCGGAATGAGGATGAGCGAACAGATTGGCATCTTCGATATTGAATGTGATAGGACAATTTCGTTTGTTAATAGTATCTCGAAGGTCAACGTTGATAACTTGCTTCCCGGCATTTTGCGCTTCCCTAACGTAGGCTTTAGCTTTTCGCCGAGACGTATCCAACTGCTTGGTATTAGAATTTACTGGGGGTATACAGTAAGAAGGGTTCAATGCGTCATGTGTTTTGGGTTTTTTGCAGTTGTCGGTCGAAGTACCGATAAGGGTAGAAAACGTAAAAACTTCCTTATCGTTCGCACGGACTCTCTTCGGGTTAGCGGGTCGATTATCATCATCTTCTTCGTCTGAAAGATCCACGGGCCTTCCTTTCCGGCGATTGTTGAAATTTCTGGACTTTTGAAGTTGAGGCTGACCAATTAAACGTAAAAGAGCCGATAAAAGGCCAAGGCACTCATCGGTATTGTGTCCCGGAGATTTATGGTACGCACAGTATCGAGATTTGTCTAGCTTGTCTTCAGAAGTTCTTACTGGTTTCGGATCAGGAATAATTCCCTTTCCTTTTAGTTCCTCAAAAATTGTGGCTGCTCTGGCCGAATAAACGGTTTGATAGCCTGTCCTCACGTTGTCGGCATATTGGTCTCGGGCAGCTCTGGATTCCGGAGTATTTTCATACTCTTTTGAGTAATTCTGATATTGCGCTTTCCCAAAATTCTCCTTATTCTTCTTTTTTGCATCTGACTCAGTCTTATTCTCCTTCACCGAGAAGTCGAAACTAGGAACCGACATCGACTCCTCGGCGATAATGAATTGTTGAGCTCGTACGAGGAATTCTTGAAAGGTAGCCGGCTTGTTTTGACATAAGGTCCAGCGAAACATCGAATTGGGCTTTAACCCAGCAATTGCAGTCACTAGTAGGGTCTCAGGGTGACAAGGTTCCATGTTTTGAATTCGGTCGTTAAACCGAGATATGTAATCCTTTACGGTTTCGTCATCCTTTTGTACGATAATAGTGATCGATTCTTTTGGGATAAGGCGAACTTGAGCTCCGATGAAGTGTGACCGGAAAGCTGCACGTAATTGTTGCCACTTCCAAATTGAATGAGGTAGAAGAGTATAATACCATTTTTGTGCCCGTGGCCCCAGTGTGAGGGAAAACATCCGACATCTCAAAGCATCCGAGGCTCCGTGCAAATCCATCCACGACGTATAGTGGCCTAAGTGCACGTCTGGATCCGAAGTTCCATAATACATGCCAATTTGTGGGATTTTTACCTTGGCAGGGAGTGCCTTTGCAGTAAGTTCTGGAGCCAAAGGCGAATCAGCTTCAATGATAACATTTCCTGACGTCGAGACATGTCGGGGAGAATCTTCTTGTGACTTCTGTCGAGTCTCAATTTTAGCCAATCTTTTACGGAGAACCTCGATTTCTTTGGCACTATGTCTTGACATGCGATTCCGTGCAATCTGACGCCGTAAATCTCCACGATCACGAGGCACCGGTGAGGTAGGTCTAGGACGCGACGGAATTCTATGACGATGTGCAGAATGGCTTTCAGCAGTCATCTCTTGAACAGGGGGTTCCTCCACGACCTGGTTGTTCATTACCGGGTTAACGATTATACGAGTTAAATCCTCTCGATGTGGAGAAGTATGACATGGTTGTGACGTAGCATGCGATGTCGCTGCATGCGTTTCAGGGTCATGATGAGTAAGATTTGGATGTTTCGTTGGATTCGTAGAAAACGGCGTAGATACAGGTATAGTACTCGAGTGTCTAGGCATGGCTCGAGCTATAAGAGAGGTTAAACCCTGAATAAACTCCGAGTTTTGAAGGAAGTTCGTGATATTCGTGACCGTAGGAGGTGGTGTTGAATGCCTTGGGGAATGATTAGTCGATTGGCTCTAGCCAGGATGAGCCGTATGATCTCGACCAGATCGCGACATGGTAACTTCAAGCGAGGAGATGGCTATAACAGCGAAAGTTAACCTCAAAACATTATGAACCCTCCTTCTAGCGCCAAACTGTTGTTATACGGCAATTAACAACGGTAATATAACGAAAATTACGTTGGGTATTCAAGAAAGATTAATGAAGAACACAGAAGTCTAAAATCATAATTTATTGAATATTATAATATGATTTTTCTCGTGTGTCTTGTCTGGAGAGCTTCTTCTCCCTTTTATATTAATGTGCAACATTTATCGAAAATGTAATCATTATGTTAGAAAAGTCAATGGCGGCTAATCGCCACTCATTCTTATAGCACGCCACTTGGCAAGGCGCAATGATGACTTGTGCTGAGTTGGCACCACCTTACGATGTCGGATCGGCAAGTCATAGATATCGGCTCGATAAGTCATAACCGACGTGTCACAACCGACATGTTGTAACCGATATGAGATGTCGGTTTAGTTGATGAGGATGTCGGTTCTTAGTCTATCTATGTCCGATATGTGAGTGCTCCGGAATTCATGAGCATGCCACCCCTTTAGAGAATACAATCTCCTGATTATTGAGCTCTAACAACCAATGAACAACAACTAACATGGTTTACCGGAAACCATATCAACAGTTCTCACCTCGGAAAGCAGTCCCCACTTCGGAACACACGAGCCACTTCGGTTACCTCGTATGTACAAACACACCAAAACGGACACCCCCAACTTATGACTACTTCCCGGCTCGGAGTTTTCATTCATTCTGCAGTATCGACGACCATTACTTCGTATGCCCGCCGATATTGGGGGCCTCTCTGTTATTATCCGACCCGGTAATCCGTGATGGAATAACTATCCAAGATCATGCATTATAATAATCATCATTAACGGTAAAACCGAATCCCGCTCACTCCGGTTTACATTGCAAAACCGGGCTTCAACCGACGTGAAGAAAAACTAACTTGCTCCATGAAGACCGAGGTCACTGCAAACCGAGGTCACTGCAAACCGAGGTCACCACAAACCGAGATCACCATGAACTGAGGTCACCACCTCCGAAGCTGGTGACGAGGCATCTACACGCCATTTTCACGAACCACGATATTTTTCATCATTCAAGTGGGACCCGCTGATAATGCCGTCCACCAAAAAGTAGCTTTATGAAAAAGGCATCATACAAATCCCGATATTTGTATCCAAAAAGTTACTAGAAATAGCTAATTCCTATACTTGTACTGGGGATCCCAGAACCATTTTTTATTAGAAACACGTAACAGCTCATGGTAGCTTTTCACCTCGGTTCACCTCGAAACCGGGGCCATTGCTTGCACCTTAAATACATGTCTTACGTTCAAATCACTCAAAATTCTTAATTAATCACACTCCCCCTCGTTGTTAATAATCGCATAACAACACAGAGACACCCAAATGATGAATATTTGAAGAACATAACATGTCCTCACTACGATGAACTTACCACCATTTTCATCGGGACAACCGCTACTGGTATTCTGGCAACAACTTTCACTCAACCGCCACAGGGAAGAACACGGGTGAGGAGGAGTCCAGTTTCTGTTTTTCCTATTTTTGTGACTTTATTTTGGTTTAATTTTCCTTTTATTTTACCCACTTCTAGGATTTTAGTACTTTATTTAGTCCAATTCTGTGGTTTTGTATTTTTCTCTTTAGTTTCTATTTGTGCGCTTTTTGCCGTGTTTTGCTTCGTGCTTTTCTCCGTGTTTGTGTTTTTAGGAGGTAGGTTGTGCCGGTTGATGATGGGACTACTTGAGCCGAAAGCGTGATGTCGAGAATACCCGTCGTGGAGCTCAGAAATCTGAAGGAAGGACAGAAAAAATGAACTGGAGGTGTGCCCAGAATTTCTCGCGACTCGCGAGTGGAGTCCCGACTCGCGATTTCAACAGAGGCTGAAGATGCTGTCCGCGAGCTTGAGTCGCGACTCGCGAGATGGAGTCGTGACTCGCGAGTTAGGTCGCGAGTTTCCCCAGGAGTAGAAGATGTTTGCCGATGCGCGACTCACGAGAAGTTGCGACTCGCGGCCTAGGAACAGTGGAAGTCGCGACTTATGTCGCGACTCGCGACTTACTCGGCACGAATTTTGAGGACGGGATTTTTGTACCAAAATTGGAACCTAGGGATTATTATTCAGTTTCTAGACTTCGTTTTTACGCTTTTTCTCTCTAGAAACTCATTCCTTTTCATACTTTTGCTCTTTTGATTGGATTTTGGAGATTGAAACTCTTTTTCTAGCTTGGATTTGGATTGTTCATTGGATTTGACATTGGGATTCTCTTCATTAATCGTAAGTTCTTATTTTCTCAATTGTGTGATGATGATGGCTTGGGTTTATATGAATTTTGATGATGAATTTCATATGAGTAGCTAAATCCATACGCTAGGGACAGGGGATGATTGATTAGGTTCGTTGAATGATTGCTTGCTTTTGATTGTTCATGCCTGCTCGAGTTCTGCTTATTCTAGGGTTAGTAGATTGATCACCTTTCTAACCTATTCAATAAACGTGTAGAATCGAGAGGGGAGACGTATGTCGACTTAGGCTCGTTTAGGGTAGACTTGTTCGTAAAAGTATTGTCTATGAGTTGTTGGAAGTGATAGTTAATCGTGTACGTTCACTCTCTTGTTACGAAGAGTTATTGAGAGTGAACCTCTGGACGAGAAATGATTCAAGTCCTATAACCAAGCAATTGATTGCCTGCAGTTATGTATTAGAACCGAAAGAAATTATCCCCGATTCCCTAGCTTTTTAATCATTTGAGTTAAGTCACTTGCTATTTAAATCGCTTTCCATTTATTTTGAAGTCATTAGCAATAATTGAAACCAAAACCATTGAAATAGAGTGTTTAGAAATTTTTCTTTTCTTTCTCGTGATCGAATAATCGTACAATTGAATTCGGCTAACCTTCCTTGTGATACGGCCCGGGGAACGAATCTTTCGATTCTACTCCGGTTAAAAAATACTGACAACAAAATTGGTGTCGTTGCCGGGGAAGGTTTAAGACTTTAATTGTGCGCCTATTCGTTTTTTTAGTGTTTCTCTTCGTTTTATTTTGCTTAGTTTATTAGTTCTTGATTTTTGGTTTTTTGTTTTTCTTTAGTTTTTCTTCTTTGTTTATCTGGTGCTCGTGACAGTTTCTTTGTCTTTGTGTATGCGTACCAGGAGTGGACGTGTACTATCTCCTATCGACAAACCTTTCAACGAGAGCCTGAGAGAGCTTCTTGACGAGCTTACTCTGGAATCGCACGGGGACGACGAGCATTCTCCAAAATCATCCGAAGGCAGCAACTTCGACATGGGTGAACGACAACAACAAGCTCCCCGTAACACCCTCCGAACCTTAGCCCAGCCAGTTATCGGGCCAGTCACTTCATGCATTCGTTTGCTGGATGTTGCACGAAACTACGAACTCAAAATGATTCACTAAAACCAGCTGCCGACATTTCACGGGCTTCCCAGCAAGGACCCGCTCAACTTTATCCAGGAATTTTATAATGTCCTTAACACTTTCCCTCTCAATGGGCTTAATGACGACCAGTTGAAGATGAGGTGCTTTCCTGAGACACTGAAGGACCGGGCCAAGGCCTGGTTCATGATGCTTGCACCGGGCTCTCTCACCACTTGGACCGAGGTGTACTCAAAGTTTATTGGAAGGTACTACTCTCATCAAAAGACCCAGGAGCTTCGATTACAGATCATCTCGTTTGCTCAATTACCGAATGAGTCTCTTCATGATGTTTGGGAGCGGTTCAAGGATCTTCAGCGGAAGTACCCCCATCACAACCTCGCTCCGGGGCTACTCATGAACTGCTTCTACGATTCCCTCCACCAGAACTTGCAGTATATGGTCGACAATGCGGCAGGAGGTGATATCGGAGCAAGGACAGCCGAGGAGATGTTTGAAACTTTTGAGATGATGAGTACGAACTCGTCGCAGAAGAGCACTCGAGGCAAGAGAGAGATAGTGAATCAGGTCGGAGCAGGCCATGACTTGGTGGCCCAACAGCTAGCTGAGATTACAGAGCAGATGAGGTTGCTTACCGCACGAGGATCTCAACCGGTTAATACCTTTGTCGTTGACACATGTGGGGCATGTGGAGTCCCAGGGCATAGGTCTGAAGTATGCCCCTCATCTTTCGAGCAGGACTCTAGTGAGCAGTATGCAGATGCCAGTGCTTTACAAGGATACCAGAATCGGCCAGACAATGACCCATATTCAAACACGTACAATCCCAGATGGCAGAACCACCCACACTTCTCGTGGTCAAACAACTCGAACACCCTTCAGCCACCCCGTCCGAACTTCATGCAGCAGCAACCTTGACCCAACTTTGTGCCCCGTCCGAACT